CGGGGGTGTGTGGGTGGAGAGAGACAGAAAATGGGAGATGGAAGAAGACCTGTTTGTCCTGTGTTTTCCAGGATACAGATGGAGTGAAAAAGCGAGGGAGTTAAAAAGGTGTTTTTTTGGATGTGTTTTGACGGAAAGAAAAAAGGAAGTATCTAGGAGTAAGAGTAAGGAAAAGGGTAAGGAAAAGAGTTAAGGGTAAAGAAGGGTAAGAGTAATAACAGAACAAGCAGAGAGTCGGAGTGTTTTGGTGAGGAAATCGTCAGGTTTTTATTTCGGGATTTCCGGTTTTTTTCCAAGCAGTCCAGAAACAGCCCAGCGATAGCCCGGTGATGGCCCAGTGATAGCCCCAGTGATAGCCCAGTGATAGCCCCAGTGATAGCCCAGTTGACAGCCCAAGTGCAAGGCCCAGAAACAGTTCAGCTCGCGTTTTTATCTGCCTTGTTCTCGGCGTATCTTTTGTCATTACACAGTATTTGTCAGTCCAGCCCTTGGGTGAGCCGATACGGGATTAGGCGGGTTCTGGCTGAGTTTTGGCTTGGGTTTGGGCTGGGTTTGGCTGGGTTTTGGGTTTCTGTACCCCGCCGTACTCATCACTTACATACTGTATACATACCATACCGCGCATGCATACGGTAAGGAGGGAATAAAAACGGGCTGATACATATACGACAGCAGAACACCAGTAATTAATAATAATAATATTCAGAGCATGGATCTTCGCTTACTCTTTAGTAACTAACTCTAAGGTAATACCATAGTTACAGGATAGATGCATTCTCTGCTCCAGGGCAATCACTATGGATATCTCTTGTAGGGAGATGTTCGCAGATGAACTCAGGGAACTACTTGCGGAGAAGGGATTGTCGTCGTCCTGCTATTATTACTAGTTGACAAAATTCCCGCGGCCCAAAATTATAATAAATAACTAAAACTACACGGATGAACTCTCGGTCCGACTCTTCGACACAAAACACTCGTCACAACTTTCTAAATGCAGAGAACCTTCAGAGAGAGCGCCCTTCAGCTGATTACAAATCCTATTGTTTGAGGCCCCCCCGTCAGATTTTTCATCTATGTCATATATATATGTATATTTGTAGGTTCATACGTCAAGCTGAAGGGGCAATACCCATCCCGCGTCCCTGTATGCCGCAATTTAACCAAAATGCATACCTGTTAGCATACGTTCAACTTCTTCGTAAGACCATGCATGAAGTATGCAAGGAACTCATAAATCGAGTTACTCAAAGGCCGGCAAGCTGAGCGGGTGTACAGAGCAGTACTTCACCTCATTAACCCAACACCCGTGGATCGTTCACGTCTTGTTCCACCCCCCCCGGGAGAAACAATTCTGATATCATGTGACCGCGATGACCTCGTTTCCCAAGTCGGGGATTTTTCAACCTCTTCCTTCAAACCCAACAGCCAGCATGGAGAATTTATGTTACATGCCTTCATATCAATGATATCCTAATCCATCATACACTCCTTCCGAAGCTTCCAGCTTTGATAGATATATTGTTAATTGACAAATCTCAAGCAAGATGATGAACTTGGGATCAATCGATTGTTCTGCGGACTTGGGGAAAGCTTATGGCTCGGTGCAGGCAACCTAGAGCCTGCCTGGCCTGGGGCGGGTAGGTGGACCTTTATAGCTTTCGAAAAAGGATCAATCCTGTTGATGTTCGAAGAGCCTTGTGGGGTTTAATTGGGTTTAATTCCTGTGACTGGCTATTTCACGGAGACACCGTCGCACTCCTTTTAATCATGACTGTTGGAAATACACGTTCGGGTGATCGCGTCGTCCACCCTCCCGATATGCACTTTGCTGCAACCCTTCGGAAATCATTTTTATCTTCCGATTCTCACATGTGGGTTACATCTTCAGAGCTTGCGAGTACTGGAGAGAAGTTTTCTCTGGAGGCATTTCTGGGAGTGACAACGCACCTTCTGGCAAATCCCAATCTAAACAGCAGCCATGTTTTCCGAGCTGATATATTATACGACAGCGCCGGTGTGATGAAGATCCCTGGCGACGAGGAAACCGACTACTGTGGCGCCGTCGAAAAGACAAATGAGGATCAGCCAAACACCACCAGGCCAGCGCCCATGCCGGCGGAGTCATTTCCTAACCTCCATCTTAAGAGAACCATCATACGGCGGTTCATCCCCAGAAAACACATAGATCATCCAATAAATCAAACTTGTCATATGTATGAAGAAGATGTGAACCATGCAGATGTATCAGATGGTTCCCGCGAGGACCAGCAACGGTGCCTCTTCATTTTCACACCTCATGTCCGCTCAGAAGATGAGATTCCATATTACCATCCATCAGTACGGGCATTAGCTCTGTCGTACGATCTGAATGATCCACTGAAAGACGGCAAAAATTGTACAGGAACTCTATCTATCCATTTTTCACCCTTCTCTGCTGAATTCACGCAATTCATTCCATACCGTCTACAGCGAACGTTGCTGGCCCTCCTGTCAACTCAGCTGCGCCTCGCAAGAAAACCACTTGATGCATCTGCGGCAATCACTAGATCTGGAAGTATGACGCCAAAGGACAACATCATTCGGCAGCATGTCTTTCAAAATACCTACTCGCGGCTGAAGAAAACATATGCTGCTTTCTTGGTGAATAACTGGGTTGAAACTACTGAACCTTCAAAACATGTTTTTGAAGATATTGCAATCGCCGCCTTTCTGATCGAGCTGTGGAAGAAAATGTATAGATTGCCGATTTCAACGACAATATCGACAGCAGCGGCAACAGCAAAATTCAATCTCAACGGGGTGAAGGACGACCTTCCCCCATTTCCGGGATTTGTTGATATGGCATGTGGAAATGGAGTGTTGACTTATATATTACTTTCAGAAAGGTATGACGGATGGGGATTCGATGCTCGTCGGAGAAAGTCGTGGTCTATATTTCCACCCTCGATTCAAGAGCGGCTTAAGCAAATGATTTGTATTCCCAGGCCGTTCATGGAAGTTCTTGAGCGTTCGAAAGACTCCAGCAATATACCCTTCCTGGAGACTGCATATTTAGTGCTGCACAGTGGCATTTTCAATAAGGATACGTTTATAATTTCCAACCATGCCGACGAACTGACTTTGTGGACACCCCTCCTGGGTGCTCTCCCGGATTCCACCTCTCCGTTGCCATTTCTGGTGATACCCTGTTGTTCACATGCCATTTCTGGAGTGCGCTGTCGACATCCGCCCCAAAAATCAGCTTCTAAGAGAGCCCGGGCAAAAAGTATTACCACGGCGGAATCTACTCTATCAGATATCAACAACATCAATAATACTAATGCCAATGCCAATGCCAATACAAAACTCAACCAGCTGCAACGCAAATCATCAACACAAGAAAAGGAAGAGACACCAGCAGCAGCAGCAGCAGCGTCAGCATCGACAGCAGTAGAGCAAAACCTGCAACCTTCCTCCGGCGATCTCAAAGCCCTACGCGCCCTAAAGCTCGAGGAGCACACGAACCTGGCCTGCCAAAACTCCGCGTACGCGTCTCTCACTGCAAAAGTCATCCAGGTAGCCGCAGAAGTGGGCTATGGCTCTGATATCGACAAGACGCTGCTTCGAATACCCAGTACGAGGAATATTGGTATTGTTGGCGGTGTGAAGAGGGTAATGTTGAGGAAGGGACGGGAAGGGGCAGATATGAAAACGGCGGCGGATTTGGTAGCGGATGTTGTGGAGAGGGAGTGTAGGAGGGATGGTGGAGTGAAGGCTGCGGCGAAGCTGTGGGTTGAGAGGGCGTTGGACTTGCAGGAAAAGCACGGGCGGGGGAAGTGGAAGGGGGGAGATGAACATAGGCATTGATTGACACTGGTGTAACTGCATTTTCGAAACCGAGAGCTGCTTATTGTCTATAAGTGGGTTTCCTCCGTGTATGTGGAATTGTTTCAAGACCTGTTACAAGACTTACGGATTAAATAACAGAAATGGTATTTAAATTAACTGCAAGTATGCTCATTGAGTGCATGTTCGTATATGTACATCCAATCATGTCCAGGGATATCAAAAACATCAAAACGGCTAAAGCACCGGCAAAAATACCGTACTCAAGAAACTGAAACAAAAAATCCCCAAACACTTCATCTGACCTAAAAGGTCCATTCAAAAAAAAAAAAAAAAAAAAAAAAAAAAAAACTCCGTTCATCATTACATATGTATTACACATCCACACAATCCTCACCTCTCAACATCAACGCCTCCCTTGCCGCTATCTACATCCTTTCCCTTTCCCTTCCCCTTCCCCTTGCTGCTGTTCCTCAACCCATCCTTCATCCGTAACACACACTTCCCAAAATCAATCTTCTCGTAGTCCTTCGGCACATACTCCCCACAAACGATACACAAAACCTTCATTCCCCTCTTATACACAAGCCCACTCAGCAACTTAGGAGTTATGAGGAAATATTGCCCCCCACCCCCCTCACCACCAGAGGCACACGCAATATCAACCATCCGCTCATGTACCATCCTCTCATTCCTCGGATCCATGCCCTGGTTGATCTCATCGACCACTCGGAACGGCGAGGAGGACAGAGATTGTAGAGCCATGAGGTAGAAGATCGTGCTAACAGCCCGTTCACCACCGGACTGTCTGTGAGAGTCTAGGACGGAGAGGCTTTCATGCTCGCGAAATTTCACCTGGATACGAATGGCCCACCGGTCGAAATCGCTTGTGCTATTGTTATGATTGTCACCGCTATCAGCCTGGGTGGAGGTGGAGGCAGAATCGCCGTATTCAGGGATCACATCCTCCGCTTTATCTATGCTCACTTGCCCCGCACAGCCAATGCGAGCGAAGGAATCGGAGAAGGCGTCGCTGATTTTTTGAACGAGCTCTTCAAGCTTCGGCTCCCATTTAGCTCGAATTTCTGCAATTGCTGCATCAAGTTCATCGAGGTTTTTCTGGAAGTCGGAAAGGTGGGACTTGAGCTTCTCAATGCGCTGCTGGCGCATTTCGAACTCCTTGATCACATTGCTATTGTCTTCACCAGTTAGTTCGAGGGCGGCTTTTTCAGAGTCGATCTCAGCTTCAAGCTGCTCAATGGTGAGATTTTTGGTAGCGTCAATGAGCTCTCTCATTTCGGGATTTTGCAGCTCTGGGTCATTGTTGACTATGTTAGCAAATGCTTGGAAATCCTCCTGGCACTCGTTAAATCGTGTAGTTGCCGCCGTAAACTCTTCGATGGCTTGTGCAAGTTCCGCCTTTTTATTGTTGAGGATACGGTTCACTTCCGTGTTTCTCTCCTTGAGCGTATCAAGGTCGGATACGGCCTCAAGGAGATTAACCTCCGCCAAAGCAAGATCTTCTATCAAGTACTGGAATTCATTGACACAAGTCTGCGGAAGGTTTAGTATTGGAAAGTGACTCCCGCTCATCGGGGGAAGACTTACAGCATATTCAAGAGCTATCGAGGCCTTTTCAAGGGAAACTTGATCTTGTTTATTGCGAAGCGCTTCAACTCTCTTTTTCACCGCATCCATTGCAATTTCCGACGCGTGCGCCTTTCCCTGCAGCTGTGCTAGACTGGGAGTCAGTAAAAGAAATAAAGCAGGTATGAGATAACGTACCCATTTTTGTAGGCAAAGCTTTAAAATTCATCAGGGCAGTCTGTTTAGTTGCCTTTTCCTGCTCCAATTCAACCTGTGGGTGGAGTTTTAGCAAAAGCCCATCTCTGACAGGCAATACAAACTATTGGGAACGAACCTTCTCTCTCTGCGCCTTTTGATATTGTCCTTTAAAATTTTCAAGACTCTCTCTTTGTTCGTCAAGGATCCCCTGAAGCGTATCAAACTCCTTTTTCAATTCCTGGATATTATTTTCAATGCTGCTTCTGGCGGAAACATCAACTGGCTGGGATGTCCAGTGTCGGGCAGGTCGAAGTTGCCGAACTCGAGTCGATATGGCGCTCGGCCCATATTCACGTCTACGGACAACCTGATAGGACTGGCTTCCAGTCACCCAACTGCTGATCGGGCTGTTTATCAACCTCGTGTATTCTTCGTCTGTAATATCTCGACGAGCTATGGGCGTCTGATGCAACCTGTTTTCGCTGCAGAGCATAGCCACGACTGGCTCAGGTCCAGTCAATAAATCTCGGGCCCAGCTGTCGAATCCCAAGGACCGAAGTTCCTCGTCCGTTATTGGAGACCGAAGATCTGATAGGGTTATCGATGATACCTTGAGAGAGATATCATGAAGCTTCAATTCGGAATAGAGTACTCGCTGTAGAATCCTAAAGTCATTTCGGCACTGCGCCGTGAAGGTCAAAAAGTCATTCCTCTGTAATAGCGATTCTATGGCGTCCGCATATGTGGGATCTTTTATCGAGCATTCCACGAGTGGCGGACCAAAGACTTTCTTTTCGAACCTGGATTGATTCGCTTTTATCCATTCCCACGCTTTGGCAGTGTCTGCAGATAAAGACTTCAGTTTCTCTGCCTGGCGTCCACTCTCGGAGTCCAGGTTTTGAAGGCGTTCATATTCTTTCACAATTTTCCCCTTAATTATCTGATGATCCCGAAACGTGCTCTTTTTGGACTCCTGGATACTCCTCGATTTCTCTTCGATATCCCTAAGTTCTCGCACAGTATCCCGCTACGAAACATTAGCGGCCCTGGAAGAAAGAGGGTGAGAGGGAACTGACAAGAAAATGCTTACAATTTTATTTGTAAAGGCTGCAACATCGAATTCCACGGGTTCCTCCTCCATTTGTCGCTTGATTTTGTTGACTAAGTGAAGTGACTTTTTATAATTCTCCCGATGCGTGATCCCTGCCTTTTTCTCTGCTTCAATTTGCGCATCCAAATCTTTTATAGTATCCTGCACCTTGTCTAATTTTCCAACAATTGCAGCACTGAGTTCCTCCTTTTTAACCACCATGTCTCTTTTCTGGGCGACAACATCATGTAGCGCAAGAGAATAGTCCCTCTTCTCATTAACTGACTTGAGAGCCGGAGCTAGCTGGTTCTCCAATTCCATTTGCTCGTTATGAAGATCCCGTCGTTTTTGCCGTGCATCCTTGAGAGCTTGCCGGGCCTCCTGGAATTTTGGAATTGGCCTTGCTTTTTCTAGTAAGGCGATCTTTTTTTGTATCAGCGCCCTTTGTTGCATCCTCTCCACATCCACCCGTTGCAGTTCTTGCCGATTTTGCAAATTTGCCAACTGTTCTCGATCCTCAGCATTAGCAGCTAGCAACTTCTTCTGCTCGGCACGTAGCGTCTTCAAACTTTCATGCCATTCTATCATTTCAGGGCCAGCTGCTGCTCGCTGTGTAGAGTGTAATAAGTTAATTGGGGAAAGTGCAGCGAACTCAGCGACTTTGTCCTGAGGAAGGAATTGGCACAAATTGTCGATTTGGATGGAGAATGAGTGCGCAAGCTCAAGGACACGGGCCTTGGTTGAGGGTTTCCCGTTGAGAGTGAAGGTGCTTTTGTTGTCTCTCCTCACAATAGTCCTGCGGATAATCGGGTTCTGGCGATGGCCTGGCCCTTTAGCCAGCTCAATTTCAATAGTGGCCTCTTCGCAACCATGTTTAACAAATTCAGCAGGATCTTTAGCACGTCCTAAATGCTAGAATATCAGGGGTTATCAGCACACATTGGGAAATACCCTCTCTCACAGCAACAACATATTCGAACATAGAAATAGTAACCCCTGTCTCCTTACCTGTGGTCCCCATCCAAGACCCAAACAAATTGCACATACAAGGGTACTCTTCCCAGTTCCATTAGGTCCAATCACCATATTCAACCCTGGGCCAGGAAAGAATTCTGCGGAGGTATAAGTTACAAAATCTGTAAGCTTGACCCTCACAATCGACCCAGGACGATGCTTCGGACTAGATCCATCTCCGTCTCCAATTACTTGCGCGCTTGGTTGCCTACTACCAGCAGAATGTTTTGTGCGAGATCCGCGCTCGGTCTTGACGACGGACGGATAGAGAGTGTTCCTTGACCTTGTCACCTCCGCCGGATCAGCCCCATCATCACTATCGCTTTCTAGCGAACCACTCGTATCGTTTCCGCCATTTTCACTGTTGTCTGGTGCTGAAAGGCGAACGCGCTTGCTCCCATTTGATGCTTGGGAAAAGGGTGTGCCCTCTCGAGAAATATACGTCTCCCCCCTTTCATCGCTACTATCGTCGCGGTCAGATTCCAATTCATTGGCTCGCCGTCGCCGCTGCAGGATGGGTACGACAGAAGGCATGTCACTTTAGCCCACCGCGTGCGGCTTGAGCTGGTCTTTTGGTCTGTGGTTGGTGAGGCGGATCGAAGGTTGACGGTCGTCAAGTCTTGCAAGGGAACTGACTGACCGTCACGTATTCGCGACACAACCGCGTTCTGGGAAGAGATGCGCTAGCCTGTATTGGGGTAGATTGAAGTGTTAGTCAGCAAGATTATTATCTGGGTCGAAACTGCCAGTCCTGACCGCCGGACAGACCCCCTTTCTTCAATTCAAGAATGCAACAGTTGATAATATCATGAAACACCTTTTCGGGTTTATATGCGCTCAATGTCTATATATACAAATGGTGTTTTTCCATTCATGCACGATCTTTAATCCGAGATGATCAATCCAAAACTTGCCCTCACTAATTAATATTAGTCCCTTAAAAGAGCTACTTTTTTCGCTTTGTTTTTATTAGTGTTGCATCCAATCCTGTTGATGTGGAACCCCGCCTATTATTATAATTCATTTATTTTCCGCCCTCGACTCTTAGGTGTGTTTCTTTTTATTCTTAGTAGACTCTCTCAACCGTGATCAGGCCACTTTATTGTAGAAGACTATGCACTCCACTTTATTTCAATGAAACCATCAGAAACCATCAGAACAAGGGGTTCCTGCAGTAGTAAAACAATTCGTTCATGAATAGAAGTAGAAGGAGAGAAGAGAATATGGAAGACAGAGGGAAGGGTTGTTTCTCTACCCGTCCGGATAAAAAGAACATGAGGGAAAGGAATTACGCCAGTGTTCACCCTTTGGGACAGAAAAAAGGGAGAAGAAAAGGTGACATAAACCGGGGAAGAAAAAAAAAAAAAAAAAAAAAAAAAAAAAAAAGGGGTGGGGAATCTGTATGTTCAATCATGTCCATACTGTAAAAAAAGGAACCAGTGGGCGAAGAAGTATATATGAGATGAAAACTAAAAAATTGGGTGAGCATGAAGAAATCACAAACGCCAACGCCGTCACTCTAGGACCTGGATATAGGGGGAAAAAACATCACAGAAATAACATGGAATATGCCCACCACTCCATCTGATAGCTGCCCCCCACCGCGTACTCCCGTCATGTTTGACCTTTGTGAGGATGACATGATCCCCGATTCCGCGGAAGGAAAAAGAAACAACTCACTCTGTTCTCAGATCCCATTCGGCAGGAAAGCTTTCCAATCCCGACAGACCGGGTAAAACCTGGAATTATACGAATAACAATGATGCACATATAACCGATGAGTGCCTATTTGACAATAACACCTATTTCTTCCAAAAACCGTGGCCGAAACCAAAAATACACGTGCACTCAGCGGACAGGACAGGAGATAATTATACAAACACAAGGAAAGTTTCTTTGTCAGAAGTAATTCCCCTTAGGCACAGAGACGAATATAGTCACAAGGATAGCAGTGATAACCGCGGAGGCGATGGAAATGCGGAGGAGGATCATAAAGTGCATGCGACGAAGAACCGGGTCCTGAATTCTAGTATCTGGATCGAAGACCTTTTCGAAGAAATTGCGTCTCCGATATCTGGGTATCCAGGGCTCGTCTTCGTAGGAATTGCTTTCACCGGTGCTGTCGAAGGCCTTGGAGTCGACTCCTAACTTTTCTAGGGTATCTTCGTCTTCATCGGAGAAGAGTTCCCAGGGATGAAGATGGCGGCGGTTAAGGAAGAGAAAGAGCTGAACGAAACGAAATTGTAAGCTTTAATATGAGGAGTTGGAAACCAATCTCTTAATACGAATACCCAAAGATCCCTCCGTCTTTTCTAGTTGATATATCTAAAAGAACTTACAATGCAAGAACCGTTACACGACGTGAGAAATATAATCAAGCCAGGCAGGAGGACTAACGCCGACAACGCTCTCCAGGCCCTTGTGGCGGAGCTGAATATGGGCAGAAGACCAGCTATGAGACCTAAAAGCATTGTAGTAGAACTGAGAATGCGAGCAGCGAGGACACGATGGCGGTTGCAATTATTCAGCGTCCAGCGAATAAAATTGGGATGTGAATGGTGGCGAAGGGTCCATTCCACTTGGTCCACCACTTGCTTGAACGCTGATGGGTGCGTTGTGCACTCCATGGCTCCCATGAGATTTTCACGTTCCTTCGAAGTCAAGTTCAGCTGCCGACTGGCGCCATTAGCGATATATGTTGCGTAAATTTTGCTGATCTCTTTTCGGAAGGGCTGTGCGATGACTACTTGAAAAGCTGGTCAGATTTTCCTTCTTTCCCATGTCATATCAACTTGGATCAACTAGGGAACGGTTGTTACATTTTGATCTTGTCTCTTCAGCCGCCTGGGGTGCTTCGTTAGTCGTTTTTTTGGCAGCCTCGTTTGCAGAGTACTCTGCCCCCATCTCCTCCGCCGGTGGGCTTGAGCCACAATCGAGTCCATCCGTCACGGGTGGAGTTCTCAATGTGCGATCAGGGTCATCAGAGGTTGGAATACCGGTGCCGGGAGGCGCAGTGTAGGTGGATTGAGGTTCAGTAGTGACGGCTGTGACATCTGGGGACGGAGGTGTCTGGTCATTCGTGGTGGGTTGAACGGCATGAACGTCTGCCTTTGGGCTCTTTTTACCGGTCCACTCCGGAGAAAGTTGTCGTTGGCTTTCAGCAATCAAGTAGAAACGTCGAGCGTAGTCCCGATGCCATAGGAAGAACTGCAGGTTTTCGGCATTCCTCTCCACATATATCAAATAGTTCATGAAATCTCGAAGTGTACATGGCTAGTATGGCTTATTCGTCAGCTAAGAGCAATGCATTTTGGCCCTTTGGGAATTTATTTAGTGCGGCTAGTCGTCGCATGATTTTTGGAGCAACGATGATAGGGCGGACTAGCGCAGATGTATATACGAACAACAATATCAGAGTGTAGGTTATATGTTCATCGACTCACAGGACAGGTACAACCACCGATGACCATATCAAACGATAATCCATCTCGATTGAGCCACACATCGACATTTGCTCGTCTTGCCAATCGAGATCGATTGTCATTTTTGTGTGTTACTGGTGCCCTGGTTGGCGGCTCAGGCGCATGGCAGGGCTTGAAGAAACGAGACAGCATCCTGTCGGGAGAAAGGTGATGGAGAACAAAAGCACATAGGAAGAGGACGACACAACAGGTAACATGATATAATTTGATAAACGAGAACCCAGGCTCTGAGTTGATGAGAATATCAAGAGGGGTGTCAGTGAGCAGTTCGTGAGCACTTCAGTGAGCAGTGCTCAATCAAGCGACCCTTCCCCGGTCCAACGCAACGCGGGGGCGATCTGGAAGGATTATTCGGAGCGTCACGACATGGTAGCTAACTAAATGTGATACCTGCGCTGCTAAGAGTGAGTTGGTATGTGCATAGTTGGTCGTTATTAGGTACAACCATCCAGCATATTCCTTGAAGAGGGAGGCTAAAGAGCAAAAGACTCCGTCCCTAGGCCCCATCGAGTATCGCGATGTCGATGCTGCGCTGAGGGGAGCAGAAGCATCGAGCGAGAAACGATACCATTGACCATATCCACTTAAATACGGGGCAACATCTCTGCCACTACCAGTTAGCGTTCACGAGAAACGCCTCCCGCAGCGAAGAACTTTAGTTGATAGATAGGAGCAAATTTATGCTAGCACGGATCTAAATAGCTTAAGCAGCCAAGAATCTCCACAGATACCACCCACACGACGGAGAATGTAATAATTGTATTTCTTATCAGCGAATTGGCAAACGCGATCCGTGATCGGCTATGGGCCGGACAGTACATACAGCCCATTCCTAGTGGAAGGAAGAGTATGTGGTGCTAAGAGAGCAACCTTGGAATGCGGATATATCGCCAAATCGGAGTCTCCTTTCCCGTGCAGAAATTGTTCCGTTGTATGCTTTCCATTGACCATATTAGTTTCACCGTTGAAGAAGGGTAACTTAATGGCTCAGCGTTGTAGGACGCGACCGCCCTAGAGAAGAAACGAGTGTGGTTGAAAGCAGAGGGTCACGATGGTCGTTCTAGGGCGTTGCTAGAAGCAGCATTCGAAAAAATAAAGTAGATGTATCACACTCCAAGGCAGATTCAGCTTACTCCTGTCCTCCAATGAAATGTAGGTTACTGCTTCCAAGGTTCGCGCTGGAGGCCTTTAGGGAGACGGCCAAACCGTCCACTCCACCAGCCCCAGGGCTAGCAAATCGATAGACCAGACTAAACTAGATAGTCGTATATTCCATGGATCTCACACCCCAAGGTTTAGCACGCGGGTGACCGATACTCACAATATTATTCGAAGTTAACAAGCGGGTGACCAGGAGCGGCAGCAGATGACAGGGTAATCCACCACTTGGTGCTGAATGGAAGTCAGTCACTCGCAGCCATAAGATCCAGGATCCAACGGGGGAACAGCCCCAGGTAACTAGTTGCCGCGTGGTGCCTACGAAAGAGTGAATAATAAATAATGAATCTGTGATACAAGAAACGTCAGCAGTAGTAAAAAGCTTCCCGAAACCCAATTTGCGGAGACTGCGTAAGAGTCTACGAGGAACGGGGTGGCCGAATGGCATCTTTAGTTGCTGATTGGGTGTTCGCGGGAAGGCTCAAGATCGCGCCTCGTAGGTTACTTAGTACGCCACTACTCCATAGTTCTTCCATTGATAGACAGTAACTAACTAGCAGTGAAAATTCAGCAGCAACGACGTTTCGTAGAGCTTTCCATCTCTGCGTAGAAACAACAGGAATGCTTCGTTTCCGCGCTATAAACGCTGCCAGAGAGGTCACTCTGTATTTGAAATCCCGCGATACTTTCTGAACACCAGTCCGTTTTCAAAATCCAGGACTCCAGGTAAGCCTGCGAGGATCGGGGGGGGGCGGGGTACCAATCCCTCTGTTCCGAAAGTACCGGGATACGCTCAAGAGATTGAAGAGAAATGGTAGAAACCTCCGCGGGAATCAAGGGGTATTGCACGAAAGGGGAAATGGGGCACCTAAGCCCTACTTGGAAAATTGGCGAGGCGGATGTGACACTCCTTTGGAGGTCGAGCTCCTCTTGCATGGCCCGATGGAGGTTGCAACTTGCAACTAGCACGTTTTAAAACTGAACATGCTTGCCAAACCTAGGGTTTCTAGACTCCCCAGCGCTGTTTAGCTGAAGAGGTCGTCAAGGCAGCCCTGACGGGAGGAAATTTGGTCAGTTTCGCCATGGTGATGCTGAGCATTTGGCTGATAGGTGCCAAGATTAATATAAATGTGATTTTCCAGCCATCGTAGTTATTTTTTAGCAGCGGACAGGGAAGAGGGTTTGAATTGTCAGGAACCCGCAGTGTGGCACGCGTAGCAAACATGTCAGATAAACTATGCTGTCTACAGCGTGAATACGCAGGACTATAGGTGGCCACAGTTCAGCGTTCAGAATTCAGCATTCAGCATTCAGCATTTAGTGTTCACATTCAGCGTTCAGTGTTCAGCATTCAATGTTCAGATTTAGTGTTCACATTCAGCGTTCAGTGTTCAGCATTCAGCATTCAGTGTTCAGCATTCAGTGTTCAGTGTTCAGTGTTCAGCATTCAGTGTTCAGCATTCAGTGTTTAGCATTCAGTGTTCAGCATTCAGCGTTCAACTGTCCACTTCACTTTTAGTCTGAAGCTTGGACTGCAGTCTAGAGTTGGTTTCACCCTACAAAGCTCCACAAGACAATCCTTAGCAGGTTTGATATATTTCACATTTAGCACAGATGGGATTGTGTGATTTTCTGGGTCCTCCCTTCTCCTGTGTCCACAGCACAAGAGACTGGAGAGAGGGATACCTAAACAGTAACTGGTCTTGCTATAACTAACTAGTTATAGAGAGAGACCTGGACGCCAAGACTCGCTGTACCGTTGTGGCAATCAGAGAAGGATGGCAAGATCACATGTTCCATCGATGTCTTGAAAACGTTGCTTGGGGCCTGCCTGGCATCAGATGGACCCAAACGTCATGAACAACGTACGTCGGTCATTCTTCATGAGAGATGCACTGATGTCATGCTTCTCACTACCTGCAAGCTGGATTATTCGCCGTATTAACTTTCTGGTAGTTATCCTAAGTTGGTTGTCGCCCTTCGGGCTGCTTTGATCGTCAATACAACTACTCTGACCTGGATAGATGGATCCTAGTCGCGAGAATCCTCGCGTCTCGGAAGGGAACATCGATACAACACATGCACTCCGCCATGCCTAGAGCTGGCTCTGATACACAAGCTCTGTCTAAAAGGAAGGCCGACCCTGATGACGCTGACGATGATTGGGATATTGAGGAGCATACCTCTTTATCACCCAGCAGGACTCTTCTTCCGCGGCCAGTGGCTTCCCTTGTGACACTATTTGCCCAGTCGACATCTCTATCTCTTCGTGTCGGGACATTCCTAGGCAGATTTACTATCGATAGTGCAAGAGCTACAACTCTCACCGGCCTGGCACTGAGCAGGGCTGTTGTCGAAAAGATCCTGCTAAAAGCTGGAAGGGATGTGGCATTGCAGGGCACCGAGTATGGAAGGGCGGAGGCCGAATCGCTGTTGGAGCGCAGTGTATGTGTTCCGTTGTCTTCTTTATTTTCTCTGAAGATGTTTGACTGCTAGCTAATCCACCCTCCCCATATATATAATATATATAGTTGGCAACATTGCACTTGACTATAACGTCAGCGTCATTCTTTGCCTCTGCCGGTTTCCACTTGTCTTCAGTGACCTTATCTTCGTTTTCCGATTTCTCTCAGAATCTTCTTTCCACGCTGGATGCCATTCTGGGATCGTCTGAGTCGTCTCGTGCAATTGCAGCTATTGTCACTCTTATCATAAGAGAATTTCGCAGCAAGGACACTGAGTATGGTAGAGAGAGAGCTGGCGTATCTGATCTGCTGGTTGGTTCTATCGGCTTCCTCTTACTGCAGCGCTGGGGTCGACGAACCACTGAGAGGGAAATGCGGGAGAGTGGAAAGGAGGAAACGGTTTGGGATGTAGTGATTCTGGACAACGGGTTGAGAGCGGATGTGGTAGGGACCCAACACACGGATTACCCTGAAGATCTCGACACAGGGCCGGCCAGTGCCACTACGCGCCCAGCATCTTTCGTAATACCAAACGAGGCTGACGGGACTGAGCTTTTCGGAACAATGGAATATGACGCATCTGTCAGTCGACACACTCTGGGCACCCTTTTCCCCCACGTTTCACTCCCCGCAGATCAGCAGCACGAACTTTCTGAGGAGGAAATTCGAATATACATTATGAACCAGCTACCAGAAGGCGCCAGAGCTTCCATAAAAACCGATACGATAACGTCCAGAACCATTACGGTTGACTTTTATGATCACGACGTTGTTGATATATCTCCCCCGCCTGGTACTGCAATGGTAGCAGAAAGGTTTCACCATCTTCTGGACGCTGAATCAGGAGATAATTCAAACAACTGTGTAAGTCACTTGCCTAAGCATACGGTTGTATTTCGAACCTCCTCAAACCACACGGAAAGCGCAGAACTACGCCGAGAGGGGCCGAATGGTCCGCCACATACTCCAGACCAAGACGGCAACACGCGACCTCCGTTGCAAGATACGCGGGAATTGAGCAAATCCGATGATCTAATGGCTGATGCGGGGCCAACTTTTACCGATAATTTGCCTGTATCGGATCCTTCCGTAGAGATAACGGGTGATAGCCGATCCTCTCGAAGGGCCCAAGCCATTCCCACAAGCGACTCTGAAGTGCAGAAAGGAACTCGTGTGAAATGTCCATTCTCTAAGTTTACCCAGAAGGTAATATCTCCCACGGATGATAAAGTGAGCAATAAAATGCCGCCGTTGCAAAGGATTTCCAGGGGTTTAGCCTCCCGTGGGGGAGAGGACAGTCAATCAGACAAGGAAAATATTGCCCCGCCAAATACCCCGAAAAACCATTTATTGAAAATACCATCTGGCAGACCCAACATCAGCGAAACTCTGCATTCCGTTGGGCCAAAGCTAAAACATTCGAGTTCAACTGACAAGACTTTGCCTCGTATGCCATCGAGACATGATTCTTCAAACCAGAAACGAAATTCTGGCAATTCTACACATCCAAACACCTCTCGGGTTAAAAGCTCTTCAAGGCCAAGTTATTTCTCGGTTCGAGGAAAGAGCGTCGAATCTTTTGTCGCGCAGACTGATACATACTCCCGCCGCCCTTTAGATTCAAGACCTAGCTCTCCCACTATTGCAAGGAATCACGTTCGTAGCAACAGCGTCCTCTCCAGGACGAGGTCAGAAAAAGATATATCTACCCTACTTAACGATGATGATGCCTGCCCTCGAACTCCAACAGCTCATCGTAGAGGATCTATCATATCCCTGGCACCGAGTACATATTCCATTGCTGACGCCGGATCAGAAACTTCTCTGGTGCTTGCCCCTCGACCGGCAAAAAGTGTATACGAAGATCAAGCCACGATTCGGGCCCTTAAGCGTGACGGGAGGGTTCCCGGAATGTTCCCTGACGACCACATTGTGAAAAATATCCAGAGATTTTGCCGCTTCTCATCTGCATCGTATGGTTCGAACTTCCTCCGCATAATGGGTATCGGAGAAGTCAAACATACATGGCAGAAGAACAAAGATATTTATGATGATAATCATGAGCACCGTTCATTTTCGAAACATACTGGACTCCCAGCGTCAACTATACTGCTTTCATCCTTCGTCGACCCTGCTGGTGGCTCGAATTCAGCTGGTGAAACAGCTGAAGGGTTCCCCTTGGTCCACTATCTATCCCTAGATCATGCCTCCAAAGCCGTTGTCCTGACGCTTAGAGGAACGTGGGGATTTGAAGATATTTTGACAGACATGACATGTGATTATGACGACCTCTACTGGTTGGGAAAGACATGGCAGGTTCACAAAGGAATGCATGCGTCAGCAAGGCGGCTCCTCGAAGGAGGTGGGAGGCGTGTCATGGTGACCATGCGAGCCGCATTAGAGGAGTTCCCAGAGTATGGTGTCATTTTCTGCGGCCATTCCTTAGGCGGGGGGGTCGCTGCTCTCCTCGCAACCCTAGTGTCGAAGCCAAAAGATCCCGACAAACCTGGTCCTTCCTTCGTAACTGCATCAGATCCTTCACTAGACATGTCCATGGTATCCTCCAGCAGCACGCAAATCGAAAAGCATCCGAACCAACTCTTTCTCCCCTCAGGACGACCAATACACGTCTACGCCTTCGGCCCACCCGCCGTAATGTGCCCGTCCCTCCGCCGTGCCACAAGAGGTCTAATCACAACAGTCGTCAACGGCCAAGACATCGTCCCCACATTATCCCTCGGCGTCCTCCACGACTTCCACGCCGTCTCCATGGCGTTCAAAAGCGACATGTCCGACGCCAAGTCTCATGTCCGCTCACGCGTCTGGGAAAGCATCACTGCGCGTCTTATGAACGGGTTCTGCGTAAATAGGCCGCCACTATTCATACATGCAGGCGATAGAGTCGGCGAGGATTCCTGGGCCTGGACCACGCTGAAATCCCTGCGAGAGAACCTGGTTGCGCCAAAGCTACTACCCCCTGGCGAAGTTTTTGTCGTCGAAACGATGCGCGTTTTGCAGCGCGATTCATTTACACTGGATCCCTATAGCAGCACTGATGGGTCGCCACGCCTGGGCCGACCTGCAACTCGTGTGCAGCTAAAATTCATCCGCGATGTGGAAACGCGGTTCCGTGAAGTCAGATTTGGGTCCGGGATGTTGGGAGATCATAGTCCCGGTAGGTATGAAGCTAATCTGGGAGTCTTGGCGAGGGGGGTTTTAGAGAATTGAGTTTTATCGTTATTTTGTCATTATTTGGATTCCTCGGGCTTTTATTCTTCAATTTTCTGGGTAGACTGGCCATTTTATATTCATATCCCCTTTCGTTTTGCGTTCATCTTTAGGATTTCCTGCATTTCGGATGACTGGTATCCCTGATCGACAAGTTCGTGTTGGAGTGTTAGTTTTACTTTTTTGTTGTCGATATTCCGATACTCTCTCTTTGTTTGTCCGTTCTTCTTTTCCCTCCCAGGAATCCTTAACGTCCATATTTTCATTTGCGTTCGAAACGATTCCTCAAATTTTGACATCAGCGGTATGGGAATCTGGAGAGCTTGCCAATGCTCACTGGAACTGATTATTTGTCATGGTGGATAATAATTTGCATTTTGGCTGATAAACGGGTTTTGGCTGGATGTCTCGGTACGGCTTGAATTATATCTAGATGGAGGTAGCGATAACCTATTTAGGCATATAGATTTACATAGGCAAGCTAATTTGATCCATGGCAAAAGCCAAGTTCGACTCCGAATTTAAACAAGATTTGATGCTTTAATGATTAAATCAGATCATTGATTTATTCCCAAATCAGTTCGAAGCTACGAGACCAATGATAATCCCATAGCACGCTGTCCTTTTCCATGATTCGCAGGCCATCGCTCACTCAACATCTCCTCTTCATCAAACAAGCGTTCAGGCTCGTATACATGAGAACAGTCCTGATGGATAGTTGCTCGCCTGCTCACCACTCCCTGCAGAGCCCAGATAGATCATGGTCCCTCTGTCATACCATACCAGCCCCAGGCAGCAATTAACACCCCTGAAGTAACCCGGAAAACAGCCCTAACAGGCACTCCTTCACGCCAGCACACATATCCATCCACCAGACCGACATATCCGAGGGTTATCAGGATGGTATCGAATTCCGCGAGTTTTCCTTGAGAGTAAAATGCCCATAGCGCAAGTCCGATTGCACTGATGCGTGCTGATGCTGTCAGCATCACTGATTGCGCTGGTTTGGAGACGGCAATACGTTGCGGAAGGCCAAATTCTTTGATCGCATACTCGGCATTATAGAATGGGATCAGGCCACCGAATGTCATGGCAGCAGCAACAAGGAGGGGTGGAATATGTCGAGGGGTAAAGTGAGCAAACATTATGTCTGTCTCCTTGTTTGCTAATGGAGAAATAAGAAGTCGAGGAGAGGGACTATGCTTCGAATTAAATTTGTTGGTTCTTGTCAACAGAAATATATACGTAACTGCCAGTTGATGTTTGAGGTTCCCGAGCAGAATGAGATGAGCAGTGGATGGTAACTAGCTCCGAGCTGAATGAAAGAATCTAAAATCTGACTTTGAACCGTCAACACCGAACACCGCAACGGATTCACGTAAGGGCGCCCATACCTGTATTGCGATCACCCACATACCCGTATAACCCATGTTGGGATTCTTAAGGAGTTAGGGCTAGGTCTTAGCAGCCGTTAAGGGATTAGGTTAATATCCTGCATTAACTTAAGTGACGCTCTAATATTCCATTCAACTTTTGCGAAACAAACAAAAGAATAAAAAGATATATTTGCTTGATAAATGCGTCGATAGTCAGACATCATAGAAATGTGCAAATTAATACAACCGAGATCCGTCTCTGAGCGCTGTGATATTCCACCGACAGGCGATGCCGGCAAAAATGAGCCCCTTACATTGCTGGATCAGGTTGGCAATTAATCCAAGATAAACAACACAGGTACATTTCATTAATATATCTCCTCAGGGCAATCAAACGAGTAGAAAACGGTTGATGATTTTCAACTTTTTCATCACTAGTCCAACCGGACAAATGATATGGCAATCCAAATGCCAGTCGTTTCCCTCCCGAATTGTATTTTTAATTTATTTTTTTTCTACCTTGGTTGTGTTGCGTTGCGCATGGGTCCATCTCAAGTCGACACCTCCTACCATACTATAATTGGCAACCGCTGGTTCACAGTCCTAGAGCTTAGAGCTCAGGAAAGGCTTTATATTTGCAGACACAATGAACGAATCCGGCCCATAAACCAAAATCCCAACCGGTTTCGCATATTGGTATATCTATCATCCGATACATGCAGCACATCAACAACGTCCTTTGTCCTGACCAGATGCTGAATGCAATTCGAGTCCGAAGGAGATCGACAATTTGTACTAGCAAGAGGGTCGAGGACGACAGACGAGCCGAGTTTTTACGGCATGAACTCGAATCGCGGTCAGGTGGACAAGAGTCCACCCAAAACGTATGCACATCGGCAGGAAGCTTGGCCATGACTCCTCCAGTCGATGTAAGGAACGTATCCCAATATCTTATTTTCAGTTTCTCATTGCGCCATCCCCAAATTGATAAAGCATGCTATTGTGTTGTCGATAACAGGATGCAGTCTGAGAAGCAGGGAAATCTGCTGGACCTTCCAAGCCCACCCAACACAGACTTCCGGAGCCACGGGAACAGCAATATGTGCCCGTGTGAAGTTCCCATCACCCCCTAGAAAGATCTCAGAAACAATGAACGTTGAACTCCATGGCATGCTTTTCCACCTTCCGGAATCCTCCACCACATGGAAGTGGATACCAAAGGTGAATCCAAATAAGCGGGGAAATGTGCGTTCAAAAGACCCCAATTCCATCCCCCCTTTGCCTAGCATCGATATGCGTATGTCATTTGTAGAACAACCCATTTCCTGTCCAGCTCGGTAAACGGCTCGAACGTCAGCTCGCGATAAGCAATACTCCATTTCAACCCCCCTTCCCACTACTCCCAATGCTCTCGTTCCTGCGCCTACTCTCCTGTCTCGCCTGCAAATCTCTGATTTGCTTCTCCAAGGAGGATCGACGTATAACGAGTTTTTCTCTGACAGATTGGAGGGCTTGGATTTTCTCAGCAGGTGTGGCAGACAGTTGTCTTTCGACCTTCTATAAAATTTTTAATACTCCTGTTAGATTAACTATGCAACAACTAAAAAATAAAAAAATTAAAAATAAAAATAAATCCATCCCCCTTTGCGCATTTGTGGTATTAAACGAATAACGCACTTTCTTCGTATCCTGATTCATCTTCAATCCCGCACCGTAGAGAGAGCCTGTAATCGTGCATATTGTTACGCCGGCGGTGAGGATGATTCGTCGTGCTTTGGGAGAAAGGCCTGCCATGGCCACTTGCGACAACAAGTTTTAAAGGATCTCCCAGGCGATGAGGGAATGTGCTGGTCAAATAACACACAATTGAGTATCTATGCGGAGGAGTTTCTGAAGCCATCGGTTTGTGTAAATTGGGAAGCCTTTCCAGTTTGTCATGTTTGCAGCTTTCCGGGCCAAAAAAAAAAAAAAAAAAAAAAAAAAAAAAAAAAAAAAAAAAAAAAAAAAAAAAAAAACTCAGTTCAGTTTTCTCTACGGAGTATTTGTACAATTTTTGCAAGAAAGCAATAAAACCCTCCAGCAGCAATGGAAGTATTCGAATTAGAGTCATACGCTGCAGTGGTCTAAGGAAATTAGTTATCATATGCCCTGAACCATCAATCAGCCAAAGCCTAGATGCCCCCTTAAGAATGAAAGAAAATACGCAAACCCAGAGCGCAAGCAATTCGAACGAAATTGCACAACTATATAAAAGACTGTAGTCCATCTCCAGCAAACCTTCCAGTAAACCTTGCGATTCTCAGCGCATCCCCTCTCTTTAACCTGATCGATCATTGAAGATAGACCGATACACACAACTATAGATGTCGCCCAAAAACGAAAATGCCTCTCGCGCCGCCCGCTGTGCTTCATCGTTCGCCACGATGAGACTGAATGGTCAACACACAGGCTCTACGGACCTACTCTTAACAGAAAACGGTGAGAAGAGAGTAAAATCTACCGGGAAAGCACTGGAAGGAGACGATCGATTAATTGTCTCAAAAAACCTTGCACACATGTAAGCCAAACAGGCTACCTATTCCTGTTTATCCTTTTTGCTTCCAGTTCATCCCCCTTCCTCCCAACTGATGAATCCCTTTTACCCCTGACATAATTGCTGTCTGCCTCAGGATATGTCTCCCCCCGCTGAAGAGCGCAACGAAGGCTCGGACCCCTTGAGATTGGATGCAAAAATCGCCTACCATGGCTATACGAGAGGCAAAACACGCCTCTACGTACCGAAGCATAGGCTGAAATCACCAAAGCTATCCGTGAATGGGACTATGGTGATTGCGAAGGCATGAAAAGTGAGGGGATCCGAGAGCAGAGGGCTAGGAATGGGATGGGTCGCGGGATATTTGGCGGGATGGATGTCCACGCGGAGAGTGAGTTGCATTGATTGACTTAAAAAGAGGGACACAAGACAACCCAATTCTTCTGTCAGCTTTTTTCCATTTAGCAATTTTTGTAGACTGCAAAATAGAGCTGCCTGTCTCTGATCCTAATTGCTGAAAGATCGCCAGAGGATATCATCCAACGACTCGATGCGCTCATTGATGAAGTCAGATTGAAATATCACAGCAAAGCCATTGGGAAGGTCCGCGCATGAGGTGCCGAAACGCGACGATCTTGTTGTTGCCCATGGGCACATTTCGAGGGCGTTTGCCATGCGCTGGATTGGGAAACCGTTGACGGAAACTGCATTTATGTTGGAGGCTGGAGGAGTCGGAACATTGAGGTATGTGTGTCATGTCTTTGATGAAGTTTGATCGAGCAGGTGAAAATATCAAGACTTGCAAAGGGTAGTGCACTGCATGACTGACACGATGAGTCAATTGTCTTAGTTATGAGCATCACAACATAGACGAGCCAGCCATTCTCCTCGGAGGAGCTTTTGATGTTGACGACTAGAGCATATCCAATTCCGAGGGATGATTGGGGTGTGTGTGTGTGTGTGTGTCGGAGATGCCTTGTTCCCTTTATCTGTTTGGTCCTTTTTACTTTATATACTCCGCTGATCGGTGAAATCAAACCATCAAATAGACCAATTTCATGTAGTCTTTCATACCCATGTAGTATACCACATACCAACAAATATACCCAGCCAAATCCACAACCTTCATGCCCCCCCATAACAACCACAATAATAACATCGCACAGCCAATTCAAACCCCTAACCACCCCCTTTCCTCCCACTCCCACGTTCGCCGGCACCCCCACCCCCCTTGTCACCGCCTTCCTCCCCCAATACCTTCGCAGCTCCCATGAACATCCCCCCCACATAACCACCAAGAAACCGCATATCGCCCGCCTGCGCAGCTGTCATGCGCATGAGATTTTCCATATCGGCTAAGTGCGCATTCAGCTGCGCGAGCTGGGAGTGTAGTTGTGCATATTGGCGCGTTTTGGCAGTGGACATAGCCATGGATGTTTGTGGGAGGAGTTGTTGGTGTTGTGCTTGTGCCTGTGCCTGTGATGAGGTTGAGGTTGAATATGCAGGGTTGGTTGTGAGGTTGGTAGTATATGCGGCTGTGGCGGAGGAAGGGCGCGAGCGGGATTGGCAGTCATTGCTATTGCTATTGCTATTGTTATTGTTACGGTTGTGGTTTTGGTTGTAGGAGGATTGTTGTTGCTGGTGGGTTGGCATTTTTGTTATTGTTGTTTGCTCGGTGTATTGGGATGAAAGTGGATGTGTTCTTTTAACCAGGGGGATTGGACGGTGGGTTAGTTATAATGAAGGCGACCTTATTGCAAAGGGAACACCGCATAATGCAAGCCGTGTAGGTTTGTTGCGAAACCAAGGAGAAAAGTCCTCGAAAACTGGTGGATTGTTTACAGGCGGCGTCTATCCATGGATTTGATACGTTGGTAGATCTTATAATCACCTGACAACTAGTTGTTCCTCCTCCCTCTTGTTATGGATTTCAACCCCTGAAAATATCCCCAAAAATATTTCTAATTGAATTGTTAGCAACTGCAAGTAGAACTATACTTTTAATATTCGTTTGCTTAATGGTTCTCTCAATTCTTAAATTAGTTTCCAAGAGATAGTCACAATAGTTACAACTTAGAAAATCTATTACTTCAAATTCCAGGGGAAAGACAATCATGTGAGTATTGATGTAAGTTACCACATTAACTGGAAGTGATGAAGCGAGGAAGGGGATGGAAATGGAGATGGAGATGAGGGCCAGGAGGCAAAAAGCTTGAGACGATTAGATGATAAACAGAGAGAAAGGAATTGAGACATTATAATGCTTTTTCATTGTTCACAATTGATAAGCAAATTGTCAGATAGAATACATGAACAAGATGTTGATTAAGAAATTAATTCCTACCCTCTTTAATTCTCACAACTATCACTGTCTTTCTCATTTGATCTTTCTCTCTTTGTATGGTCTGCTGCGCCAAAAACTCAAGGCTTACTTTCTGACCTTGATGAATGTTCATTACTGAATCCCATCCACATTCTTTTGACAAACACCAGTTTACCATATGCAGCGCAACAGGTCTGGCTAAGAAAAGAAGAAAAAATTAATACAACATAGGAAAAGGTAGGGTTGGAAAAATAGAAAAATACAAGGCAATTAATAAAGTGAAAGCAAGAGAACTATAAAGAGACAAAAGAGAAGAAAAATTAAAATTAAATGACGCCAGGAAGGATGCAGAGTACAGCCTATTTGCAAGCAAAAAAGTGAGAGGCAGAAAGAAAACTGATTAAGAAACGTTTTGGTTTTCAATTAGAAAAGGAAAAGAAAAGATCAAATGAAAAGCAGAGGCTGTGTGTGCAGAGTGTGTATGAGTGGATGTGTACCAAGGAAGGCATTTTAATATGATTAATAATCTCACCAAACCGATTCATAAGACAGACATAGTACCATGCATTGGTAAGAAAAAAGACCTGCAATAGAAAACCAGCCATTCACTGAAGACAAGAGGGGACCTTTCCCTCCATATGGCAGAAGTGGAAACTGCATATTTGGGTATAAACCTGGCAATCCAGCGATGCAAGCTGTAAAATTTTTCTATGAACACCCGAGTGCTAGTAATGGAAGAAAACCCCGCTTAATATGTATTGGTCGGGGAAAGGTTGGGATGATACCTTGACAACACAGAAAAGCAGAAAAAGGATTGGAGGGGGGGAACTGCCAGAGGGAGACGTATTGTATAGCAGGGACAAAAGAGAACTGAGCTAATGCCATAAGAAAAGAGCAAACAGAAAATGCAACGGTTTATGTAAAATAAATTCAAATTAAAGACTCGCAATCAGGGCCTATCCCCGATGGAGGGTACTGCCAGGTTGGGTGAAGAGGATATCATTAATGAGGGGGCGTCTAAAAAATTCATAACGTAAACTTTGGGCGGTTTCCCGGTTTCCGGTTTCGGGGAAACAAACCAAGGCGTGGGGTATGTAAATTGGGTCGGGGAATCGGGGCTAACAAACAATGTTCGAGATTGAAAACCCGCTTTCATATGCCTACATTCTTAACGAGTTAACACCGGTGGACGAGGCCCTAGACTACTCTGGCTGCTATGAGCGGAAGTTTCAGGGTCGAGATTGGCGCTGGCACCACTATCCCCACTCCCCGCGCTGGCGCTCGCACTCCCTGTCAGACTTCGAACATTTGGACTGCCCTTGGTTGGATACGAATTGCTCACCCCGACATGTTGCTCGACCTGTTGCGGGGCTACCGCATTTCCCTGCCCCGGAGGATACTTCGGGACCGGTGCTTTCATCATTCCAGGGGACGGTCTTCCTCCTGGTGACATCATAAGTGGCTGTCCGTTATACAGATCATGACCTGGTGAAGGGCGCCCCATACCACGTCCGGCAGGGTGGAAAGAAGTTCCAGGAGACTGACTAGGTCGTCTGCTTGGGTGGAAGTTACCCTGTCCTAAGTCATTGATGCGGCTGGCGGTCAGTGAGTTTGCTCTCGATTCATCCCGCATCTCTTTCCTGTCAACATTTCCATATCGATTGGAAGAATAGCCCATCATGGGGTTATTCAACAGGGAATCATGCATCCCAGGAATCTCGTCCAGAAGCCGAGAGCTAGCACGATTTCTCCCTCCACCACTCATACGGCCACCAGCAAACTGCCTGCTAAAAGCCGATGGTGGCCTAGAGGGAGGGCCGCCACCCATTTCCGGGTTCTTGCGGAACTGACTTGCATTGGGCACTTTCCGATTTCTACGAGAAGTAACACTCATCATATCAAAATTGTCAGGGTCAATTTGTGGCATAGGCGGGCCACAATCCATGGGGTCAAAATAATCATCATCATCCATGTCGTCGAAAGCATCACGGCCGGCTGATGTTCGTCGTCTGCCTCTTTTCAGGCTCATTTCCTGTTCTCGCAATTGTAGTTCACGTTGTCGGAGGGCTAGCTCACGCTCTCTGAGGGCAAGGTCCGCAGCGGAAGTGCCTCCTCCATTTGACACGGGAGCATATCCACCATTCTGCACGCCGTCCTCTACCACGTCATCGTAAAGAATAAGGTGACTGAATTCCTCCAAGTTATTCTCTTCTGATGTTTCCCGCTGCACTGGGGGCAGGCCTCTCGGAGGGTATCCATTGGGAGGTGGCTTGGGATGGGAACCCATCGGGGGAGGCCCACGTCTAGGTAAGGGCATTCCCCCATCAGGGCCAGGCCCAATTCTACCACCACGCACTCCATTCAAGGGGGGTCGGGGAGGATGCGCTGCGGACGAAATTCGAGGGGGTGGGTGCATGGCGTTGGGTGATGCCGCATCCTGTTGTTGCTTTGTCTGATTAACGGTGTTAATGTGGTGAAGCATGGCATATAGCGTTTCGATTCGAGGAACTTTAATTCCAGTTTCCATGGCAAGTTTTATCGGGGATCCCAAGAATGTTTCTACTTCCATTGGACGCCTAGCTTGGAAATCTTGGTACATAATACTTGAACACTCTGACGGAGAGATCATTTTCTCGATTGTTGACTCCTTGAATTTTTCGGAAAATGTGCAACCTTGAGAATTGGCTAGACTGACGAGCTCGTCAATAACGTCCGAAACCAATTGGCGAAGTCCAATTTTCTCTAACAGATCCGCGTGTTTTGGACAATCGAATATCACGCTAGCCGGATGGAAAGAGATAGGCCTGTTATGATGATATGAGCATCCCAACAAAAAATAAAATAAAATAACAGATGTAGAGGGTTTTTTTTTTGGTCGGTGACTTACCCAATCATGCGATCATATTGCTCCTGCCTTATATTTTCTGATACCTTGCAGTCCACCTGGCCTGTGCCCAGTGTAATTGCCAATGCCACAGCCATGTCTGTTTGAATTGACGAGGGGATCATGGCATTTTTTGTGGCGGGCCCAACCCAGACATTCGTTGACGCAGCATGCTCGAATTCGCTAGTGCCTGTCTGGTTGATTTCGATCCCGGACACCAGAGAGAGGACAACGTTTGTAGGAAAGCGGTGCTCCAAGTGAGCTTCGACTCCTAGTGTACTGGTGGTGTTGACTAGTATACAAGTGTGTTGGGGAGTGACGACTGACTCAATAACAGAGGCAAGGTCGTAGACGTCTGGTAGAGCTTTCAGGCAAAGAATAACGTAGTCGAAGGGATGGTCTGGTGAAACTATTTCGTCTGGGCTGCGGACAACTATTACAATAAGCATTGAAGTCAGTGGAAAGCCTCTACATAAATCAAATGTGCTGGATTTTTGACTAGATTCACATACCCTGGAAGGGTTTGAAGCGTTCAATACCAAACAGTTTGGACCTAAATTAAAGCAGGCATTAGTTACATAGATTCACGCATCCAAGCTTCGATTGGAAGAATCAAAAGTAGTGCATGCAATTTGAAGCATACCTGAAAATGATACCATATTGCGAGACAGCATCAAAGCCCGACTTCCATACAAGAGTCACATCACACGATTTTGTGGCCTGAAGCCGCCACGAGAGAAAAGCTGAGATTGCATTGCCTCCAACTACAAGACAGTCAGACCAGTGACCTCTTTGCGTTAAGAGAGGCGAAATTAAACCCAAATCAGAGCATCAGAGCCAAACACCAGGGAACATTGACTTTCGTATAACAGGCATCAAGCTACAATGGATAACGATGTAGATATAACTTTGTATTAGAGGGAATGGTTTGCGCTCAAGGCCAAGACGTACCTGATAGGATCCGCAGTCTGGGCGGCGAAGGAACCATTGCCGGCAGACTTGGGTGCAGAAAGACCCAAGGTCAACCAAGCAAGAGCCGCGGGAAGGGGGGCAAAAAGGGCACTCCCGCAGAAGGGAAAAGCAAAAGAGCGAAAAGAAAAGAGAAGAGATTCCCGGCAAACGGGAAGCACTGTTAAGTCTCCCTAAAATGAAACTGATGCGGACATCCAGTAGCTAGGAGCGAGAATGTATTGATTCCTTGTCTTTAATGTGGGATTCAAGGAGGTAGGGAGGAGTGGAGAAACAGAGGGAACCGAGGGAGATCGCTGAGAAAACAATTGCAAGCAAACTAACGAGCGACGATGACAGGCGATGAGCGTCAAGACAGTGCGGCTACGGGAAATGCAAGTACGGGTATTGGGTGTTGTAGTCCTAGATGAAGCGACTGTAGAGGTATCCGGGATGCCACACAGTGCGACGACGTCAGATCAACAGGCGACAGACACG